CAAGTACCCCAAACCATCGCAGTTGTGACCTCGATTTGGAGAAGCACTAACTGTACACCAAGGCTTTCTCGGATATCTGCACTCTGGATCAAGTAGAGATGCGTCAGGCGCGCGATTCGTCAGCTTGAAGGATTTCGTCAGCTTGCCTCCGCGCTGGAACTTTTTCAGTCATGGCCCACTGCTTATGACAGTCTGTGAGCGCTGGGACGAAGATCGACATGAACTTAGAGAGCTTAGCATTCAGACCCGACACTGCTTTATTCACAACGAATCGGGCTAGTTCACAAATAGCGACGCTAGTCATTCTAATTGGATGGGTCCATCGCTTTCTCCCGTTTTCTATTACAAGTAAACAAATTCCCGATAATGAACTTCTCTACCTGCAACACTGCTTCTCCGTTTATCTGACGAGAGCAGTGAGCAGCAGAACGAGATAGCACTAGGCGCTTCGTTTTAGACACGTTCAAATGAATGGGGCCACGGCATACTCATCTACAACCGTTTACAGACAGCGATGGACATCAGTTTTCCCAGATACCAATAAAATAGGGTCTCAGCAAACAGCAACTAAGTCGTCTCGACATTTCCTACGTTGATACATTCATCGCTCTGGGCTGCGACTGACTATTCTCTCCATGTGCAACACAAACAGAATAGGAGATATAGCACAGCCTTAGCAGAGACTACTGTCAACTTTGAAAAGTCTCGACTTAATGCCATTTACTCTGACGGCAGCATCTGTTATTAGCATATGGTGATTGGATGGCCCGTAACAATGGTCATTAATCCCATAAATCTATGATTTCGCCCCACGTCTAATTGCGCAGACTTCGGTCATACTTTCTCCATGTACACAGTACATGCAAGCCGGATGCGCAAGCCCTCACTATAACGAAAAAATTTTGCTTAAAACGAACATCTGATCCGTGGTGCTTCGCCAAAATCTAAAGCGACACTGCTCTTCTTGTATTAGAGTCAGTTAATCTGCGGCACACCTTTTCACGAAGATTTGCGTAGACTTTACGCGAGAAGTTTAATGCAAAGAGCTGATAATTGAAGCAGACAATACGGTGATCTTTCTTGAAAGGGATGCTACAGCCCCGTTCTCCAGTTTGTTGGTGTCTTCCCCGTAACTCGCAGTTTGACAGACACGCGTAAGCCAACGTAGTGTCTTCTTTGCCTAATGATTAAGGCATTACTGATTTCATCGACTCCACCGGCATTGCCACTGTTCAAGCTTTCTCAACCTTCTCTGATTTAATCTGCAGAAAGACTGATTTCCGCACTCTGTTGCTCTTAACGCCAGTCTCCTGCGTTTTCCCAGGCTAAGGCATTCCTCAAAAGACTCTCTCCATCGCCGAAGAGTATTCCTATCCTCGCTAAGGTGGTATCCAAAGTTGTCCTTCAGAACTCCCGACAGTTGTCCTTTCCACGGCGGAGAGGACGAATGGTGTGCCAGAATATCTTGTTTGCAATTTCAAAATTCGACTCCAACATTTCAAGAAACTTCTCCAAGGAAAATTTTCTCACATTTACCACTTCCGTCGGCGCTTTGCACGCTTATTCGTATTGCCTGCTAGTTGAAGGCTCTTTGCCTTCAAGCCATCTTTTGAATGCAACCTTCTTCTTGCTGACAGCTCGCATGACCTCTCATGTACATCGGAAAGTTCGCTTCTGATCTCCAGGTGGCAGACCAACCCGCTGTAAATGGCAGCATTTGCCGGAAGGCCCGAGTAAGCCGGTCTTAAAGCTTCCGCTCGGTTTCCATATCGAGGTCATCGCCGGGATTTGTTCAAACCGTCGTGCGATATTGCTGTAATGTTTTGAACTCATATTCACAGAAGATAATGCTGTCAATTCATTTCTCTAGTTGATTCTGCCGGGAATCTCTTACAGAGGTGATGATCAGCTGTTAGTGAGCATCGTAAGCCAGATGATGCGATTATCAAATTGCTCATCGACCTTTTTGCATAAGTTTCCCGATACCAGATATGTTGACGGACACTGCGATGCTAGGAAGTCGCTAATAATAGATAATCCGTTGCTTACAAAAAATCGCAAGTAGTTGTTGAGATCGCTATGGACGTTCTTTAAAATCACGCCTTCTCACGTTTCAGTGTATTCTCGGACATCGCATTGAAATCGCTCATTAAGAATGTTGCATTCCGTAGTTGGCAGTTCTTAGAGAGCACCTTCTAATTTTTCAAGAAAGGACTCATTCTACCTCCAAATAAACAGCATAGACCTTTAACAAGGTCAAAGCTTTAGCATATTGTAGCCTCAGTCGTAGAATTGCGATTCTTCTGCTGCTGAAAGACTTCAATTCAATAATTTTATCAGCCAGTCTGGGTTCTGGCAGAACCTGAATACTGATGTCAGCGCGACTAGTGTGTCAACACTTGAGTTGAATAGCGACATCGCGGTTCAGAGGTTCAAAATTCGAGAAACTTGGCGCTTCAGAGTGTCATGTTTTGTTAAGTTGGTACATTGCGGACCTATCAACTAGCTCTTGCTGTTTCTTTGTGAGCTAGATGTTTTAATTTCAGACTATCGGCATCGTTCTCGCCTGTTCTGTGGAGCCTTATTTCGCGTGCTATAGTGTCATTGCGCTGTCTAC